TGTTTCTCTGTTCCGTTTCCTGTTCCTTCTGATCAGCCAATAAAATTTAATTTTGACTGTGTAACAAGGAACAGGAACAACTTTGAACACCCCTATTATTATAGAATGTTACTAATAGAAATAGGAGTAATTCGAAACACAAGATATAATTATCAATTACAATGTACCGACTCTCTCTCTTCTCTCTCATTAATCCAACTACCAATGTAATGCAAAGTATATACAATAAAAAAAAATAAATTATAAAAAATAATCATCGTTCTTTTGGATAGATTAAGTAACAAACAATGATTTTGCCACGACTCAAAGAGTATGTGTAAACAGAAGAAAACTTTTTGCACGCGTTCAAAGCATAAATTTAAGAGAAAAAATAAATAATAATAATAAAGGATTTATTGGCGGAATTAAAAAAATTCACATTTATATATATTAATAATAAGTCAATTTTGTGAATTCTAAACGATCTTAGGTTCATTTTGAAGCTACAATTCCATCATCTGTTCACTTTTAGTTTTTACATTTTCGAGGTGTTTTGAAATATTAAATTTGATAGCATGATCACTATCGAAAGAAAAGTTGGCAGAGGTACTACTGAAAAAAATAATATTGTCCTCATTGAAGATAAGAGAACATTCTTCTTTTAGCCTTTTTTCTAATTCATTCTTTGAATAATTTCCGTTAGGAAAAACCCCAATATATGTCATATAATCTATTCTCCGTGCACATAAATGAGTTCCATCGACTATAAATTTGTTTTCTTTTTTCACTGATTTTGTCATTAAATTTATTACACATAACAATAAGTGCGAAGAAAATGCCTGCCTTTTTTTTATCATTGAAATCTTCATCTTTTAAAGCATTAAAGATATTCATTAATTTCCTAATAACAATTTCTACACTGATTTCTATGAAAGTCTTATTATTATTATCTTGTCCTTTTTTCTCAATCTTCACATGACCATGATTTTCTTTTTTATCATTTTCTTCATTCAAGTAAACATAACCAAAAGCATAATTTACTATCAAAAAGTAGAAATAGCATAAAATTTGTTTGTCCTTCTTATTTAATAATTCTTCATCATTAAATACTTTGAATACTTCAAGCAATGTTTTTCTTATCTTTTCATCAATTTCTTTGTTGTAGACACGCCATTCTTGGTGAATTTCTTCGATGGTTTTCGTATCTTTCAAAGAAAGATTTACAAAATATTTTAATACGGTTGTTTCTTTTTCATTATAATCCCATTTTTTAGAAATATCTCTAAAAAGGAAATCGTTCTTAAGTTTTCGAGACTTCTCTTCTAAGATACTCTTAAATTTTTCTAGTTTATTATCATCTTTTAACTTATTATCAAAGGTCTTTTCCATTATGAAATAGAAACTTGTTATTATTATAAAAAAAAAAAGACTATATATTATTCAATTCGAAGGTTGTTAATATTGTCATTTATACTTTAATAGTATTATTAACGTCAAGATGTATTGTTATTATTAATTAACTACAATACATACGCGAATAATAATTTTATGTTAATGCGAACAACGATTTTGACTTTAGTCATTGACGTGACAATAGTGATGTTAAATGGTCCGTCCAGTCTGGACCGGTCTTGGACCAGTCCATCCATGCTTGGGACGGACTGGACCGCGGTCTTAAATTCGGTCTGGACTGTTTTGACTGACAGTCCTAAGACCGGTCCTTAAGATCGTTACACAGTTGGAACAGTCTTTTTTAAAATTCACAAAAATTTTAACAATTGAAATAATACATCTAAAATTTTTAAATATTATATCTATTCATCTAAATAGATCAAACAATCAACGTCATCTTTTCTACTAAATCGTTATCAATATTAATTTCTCCAACATCTTTATTATCACTTAATATTAAACCAAATCATTTTTAATCCAGTTTTTACATGTTCTGGTTGTTTCCGGTTGAAGTCTTGTTCTGGTTCTTGAAGATAATTTTCATCAACACTGAAATCGTCACCCATTTTTAATTAACAAAATATTTGATGATAAAAAAAATATATTTCTATATAATAATGTTTTTTAATGAAAAAATTATTTCAATTTGTAAAAAAAATCAAGGATACTTTATGAAAAATATTCTAATTAAAGGAATGAATTGTGAATCATTTTATTCTAAGATTATATATATCAATACCTGTTATTTTTATAGATGAAATAATGAAATTATTGAGTCGTGTATATGTTGGTATGTATATGATAAACAATAAGCAAGTAAATTGAAACAACGAATAAATTGTTTAATTATTTAGTTTTTAATCTTTATAATTTACTAATTATTTTAATTTATTGCTTAATAGCTCCCCCAACAAAAATCAAGGTTGAATAATTATTAGCATTGGTGTAGTTGTTAATGTGAAGGAGCATAGACTTTTATAATAATATATATATTTAATTATAATGAGGATAGAATCTTTATTTTTTATTATATTTTTTATTGGATTTTTAATATAATGTATTTATTTTACATAGAATGAAAAATTACAAAATAAAAATTGGTTTAATTTATTACAAGATTCGAAATTATGTACAACGCGGATAATCTATACTCAAAAGTTAAAAATTTCTGAAATATTATGTAATCCACACATTGGATTTTAAAAAACCCACCATCATTCAATTCAGCTTTAAAAAAGAAAAAATTTTTGGGTGATTTTGGACTAGGGTTAGGTTTGTTCCCCACCTAATTATCTCTGATAATTCGGATCACTAGGAGCCATCTCCATCTGTGAATAAAGATAATTATCTAGATTATTGTTAGAAGCATTTTGATTATCCAAAACGTCATAAGATAGAACAATATTTACTCTATCTTCGGATCCTATTACTGACTTCACGCTGTGAAGACACTTATTACCAATAATAACTACTATTCTTCCTTCAACAGGTTTAATTGAAACTTTCTTTCCAAAAACAAAACGAATTGGCTTGAACCTCAGAAGCGAATCTAATGCTTTTTGAAATTTGGTGAAAGGTGATGCAATTCTATAAAGTGAATACAATTCAAGCTCACCACCATCAACATCATTCAAATAGATCAATGCTGTAACAGAGTTTCGATCATAATGCCATCGATATGTGCCACCGCTCGGAGTAATGTTAACGTTTACCCCAACTAATTCGTTATTCAAAGGAACTAAGGGAAAATTACTAATGTCACAAACGAATTCATTGACGTGGCCTCGATAGAGATTTTCTATTTCTCGAAGACCATTCTTTATTTGTGAGCCATTAATAATCTTGTAGTGAAGAGGGCGATCAGAGTTTTCTCGGTAAATGGTAGGCAATGTTTCGCTATTTTGAAAATTTATGATATCATTCAAAAGTAACGAACACTGCTCTTTGCTGAGAAAATTGTCTCTCACCAAATACCCTTTCTTTAAAAATTCTGTTTTTTTCATATATGGGATTTATAAGTTTTAGGGTTATTTACTTGTTAAACTTGAGTCTACTATTTTTAATGTAGCAACGGAATCAATTGATTGTGTAAGAGAATTAATCTTTTTTTTTGTCGTGTTTTTTTTGGTATAGAATGTATAGAATTCCATAAAAACAAATTAATCCTAAAACTAATCAAAAGTAGTGATGTTAGCCGGCTAAGCCGTTTATTACCTAAATTGATAATTTTATTTCCATAACCAGAAGATAACGCGGAAATCTATTACCAAATTTAGAATTTATGTATGCAGATTATTAGC